ATTTTAAATATCTTTCAATTTTCCTTCACAAAAATTTTCAATTCCTAAATTGAATAATTTTTCATATGGATGTTAGTTAGTTGATGTAAACTATCAGTTTTATAAAAACTGGTTCACATTAGGCAAAGTAATTCCTTTCCATCTCTTACGTACAAACACATATGCGTAATTTACATTTTACTTAACATAAAAAATATAATCGTGCTGCATAATCGCGTCCTTTATTGCCCACATTAATTGTTAATAAAAGGGAGAGGAAGTACTCTTGTTATACCGCGACACATAATGTGAATAATGTAGTTTGCAACTCGTAACGATAATGGGGCGTTAAGACTCCATTATCACGCAACGTAAAACCTTATTAACTTAGGTCTATACTTTTTGCCATATATGAAGCATGACGCGAGAAATATTGTATGCATATGCGAAATGGAGATGCTTTTTTTTATGTTCAGTAGTCTGAAAATGACTGAAAAGAGCGACATTCGCTTTCATTATTTTTCTCCGCTATAGCTAACACTATATAGTATATATATATATACTTTCATAAAGTAAGAAAGTATATATATATATTTTTCATTATTAAAATTCGAACATCATGAAAAATTCTACACGCGGTCAATAATACTGTCAGTATTAACAAATATACTGACAATATTATTGATCGTGTATTTAATATTAATGAATTGATGTAGAATAACGGTAATTTGAACTTTGATTCTCGAGTTTCAATATCGTTTTATTAGGATTCATGTCACAATATGTCACAGTGCAATAGATAATGTATATAAAACTAAAGTGAAATATATTGTTAATAATACTCATCGTACATCAAAACAACTCTTTTCTAAGAACAACAAAAAGAAATAGGACGATCTCTGAAGAGATGGCTCGATGACATGAGAAGAATATAATCAGATCAACTTGATTCCAAAATGTTCAGAATAGGGATTCATAGAGAAGATTAGGAGACGCCTACTATAGCCAGGAATAAATATTACAGGCTGAAGAAGATTAGGAATGAAAAATCTACGTAAAAAAGGATGCACTATGTTTTTAGATTCATGCGTTCTCTCTTGCTTATGCGAAGAGGAATATGGCTATAGTCTACTTGATACTATAAATGTTTTGGAACATTTTTTTGATCGATCAATTAGTAAAATTCTTTTTCCCAATTGATCAATCAAACACTTTGAAGCATTTGTAATGCAACTGGATGAGTGGACCGCACTCTAAGTGGCGGCAATCACTTCGCGCGAGTGACAGAAAATGCACAGATCTAAAAACGGAAAGCATTCGTTTCTACATGAGGCCGAGTGGCATTTAATTACATTTCGTTGCAATTAATAACATAGGATAATAAGTTAAATATTAGATTTGAATTATTGGAAATTCCTCAAAATTTTTGCATTTAAAACGAGATAAATGTAAGAAATTTAGAAATAGACACAAAAGAGAAGTTATTAGTGTCAGGGTTGTGTGGCTTGGTGGCAGGACGAAAATTTACCAATATGGAGAGCAGACCTCGGTTCGAACGCCCTGATATTTTTCCCTTGTTGTTGCTTTATTTCTTCAATATATTCAAACATTAAAAAGAAGAAAAATGAAGATGCCTTCATTCTTATCCAAATGTAAAAAAAAATTATGTTTTTTTAATATAACATGTCTTTGTCATCAGTACCAGTGAAGCGTATTTTTAGTTTTGTGCAACAAATTTATGTATCTCGACATGTGTAATTTGTCCGATAATATTTTTGAAAAACTATTCTTACACAATAAAAATTTATGAATAAAAAAGTGTGAATAGATTCACTCGGCTTATTTTTTTTTTCATCTCCCGGCTTATTTGATCTCGTTATTGAAGTCTAGTGATAACAGCATTATACGCGATATTTTCGAGCATGCACTATCATCACGAAAACTTGATAATGAGGTCGGATAATTCAGAAGATAAAACATGTTTGACAATCCAATTCTACTCTATAATTTTATATATAATTTTTGTATAATTTTATACAATTTTTTATTGCAATTTTTTATTGCAATTTCTACAGTTAAAAACTGTAAATTGTCTTAAAAATAAAAATAAAAATGAAATTACCTGGAAATTTTTAGATTAATTTTTAGATAAATTTATCTAGATTATCTAGATAAATAAAATAAAATGATATATCTTTATCTTATTTAAGATAAATTTCCAATTTTTTATCTTTATCTAGCTAATTTTAAAATCATCTATGTACTAGATATTACTGCTTCTACTCTGTCAGTTTTGGATTCCATTTTGTCAGACGCTTATTTTTGTTCATAAAAAAATTAATTATTGCAAAATTACAAATAGTACTTATTATATATAAAAGCCACTGTAATATTAGAAGACACTTTCTAGTTTATACTTATATTTCTAAAGTTTTATTTTTAGCTTTAAGAAATTAAATTAAATTGTCTAAAAACAAAATGGTATATTGATATATCAATGACCTTCCTCTTATTATTACAAAATAAAATATTGTATAAAATATCATATAGGTATCAAACATACACTTAAAAAAAAATTTATAAATTTCAATATATTTATTATTTTATAAATAGTATATAACAATTTTGTAACATGATAATTTGAAGCCTTATATTTCTTTAGGACTATCAAATTTTAGACTGTTAAAAATGAAGTTATTAAAAATGAAATTGTATTAATCATAAACTCATTCTATTGATAAAAAATTGTGATTTTTGCGAATTAATAAGCATAAAAACATCGTTTCTCTTTGCAGAAATTGTTAACTAAGGATGGAGGACAACAAAAGAACAAGATAGTGCCATGCTGCTCGCCAACGCAACTCGCCCCGCTCCAGCTACTTTACATTGATACGAACAACACGATCACACAGAAAACATTGCCAAACATGGTAGTGGAAGCTTGTGGTTGCATGTGATACCGTTGCCCCGAAGGGCAGAGGGTGAGTAGAATCACAACCGTTGGTGATGCCAAGAAGACGAGAATCAACATCTATGTCATCTCGTCCGAGACTTTTGCTCGTTAATTGTTGTAAAACTGAACTTGGTTGAATGCTCACAAAATCCGTTCATCTTGATATGAACATGAAGAAATCAATGAAAACGAAGCAATGATCGCTGCTTCGAGATAGGTGATTAAAAATAGGGGCACGCTATTGTCACATCACGCGAGTTCACTTTCTATCGTGTTGCATTATAAATAATTAATCCTTTAATTATTTTTGCGTGCGTGTGCGTGCGTGCGTGCGTGCGTGCGTGCGTGCGTGCGTGCGTGCGTGCGTGCGTGCGTGTGTTGTGTGTGTGTGTGTGTGTGTGTGTGTGTATGTGTGTGTGTGTGTGTGTGTGTGTGTAAGTAATGATAATGGTGATTTTTAGAACGTTTCTAGGAAAGTAAGGTCGAATTCAATTTGGTGCTCTGTTTTAATCAATTTTTATCTAATTAGTGTATAAAATGACTAAAATAATTAAATAATATAAAACTTGTTTTTTTATTTATGAATGAAAAAAATACAATATAGTTTATTACTCGACTTAAATAATTGTAAAACAAAAAAAGTAAAACAAAAAAACCGCTTAGGCTAACAAAGCCATTGGGTGATTTAAAGATGCCTTTAAACGATATAGCCAATATTACATCAATTTTGCATACATTCGCAAATATTGATTTATATTCAATATAGATGTCATGTGTGTGTGTATGATATTTGCTAATGTGGCGAACATTAGTCATATAGTCTGGAGACGCTTTAACCCCATTCTACCATTATAGAGTTAATGAAATTATCGATTCGTAAAACATCTACAAATAATTAATGCCTTTTTATATTATTCGGCAGTTTTGTCTGTATTTCATTGTCTGTATTTCGATATTATGTGAATCATAATTTTCCATCTTGCTACATTTTCGCGAAAACTCCAAACTTATGTTCATTCAACAGAAGATAACTACTAATAAGATTTAGTAAATGGATCATTTTACTCCGTGGTCCGTCTTACTCAAACTTATATTTATTTGTAAAGGGTTTCGATGATTACATTGTTTATGAAAAGTTTTATTGATATTATACTATTTGAAAGCATGTTGCAAACATCTAACAAACATCTGCTGGCTAAACATTTTATACTTAGAAAATTATAATGAAAAAAATATCAAAAAACAAAAAGCGTCACAACTGCTCGAAACTGATTCAATTTTTCTTGAAATATATTGTTAAACACAAAAATCTAAGAGGCACGTATTTTTTTTTATATCGGCCTAATTTGAGATTTAAAAGGTAAAACTAGGGATGTTTCGATTACTACTTTCTACAAAAGATCGATCTTCCCAAACAATAATAGCGATTTTAAATCAATCTTTACGAAAAATGGATTTTTCTAACTAAATGAGAGAGATTTCTGTTAAATCGATCTTTTTAAAGAATCACTTCTTTTTTACAAAAGAACTATTTCAAAGTAATCTTTTTGCAAAAATCAATTTTTAGCAAATCGGGAGATCGCACATTCCTCAGAGGTAAAACAGCCTCTCAAAACTTGGAAATGGAAATGGGAATAGTTTTTAAACACTAGATTTTTGAAAAATCTACACAGTTATTAAATATATAAAAATTATAAAAGTTCTGTTAAAACGCTATATATTTCTATATACTTCACCGTTTTGTTGCTAATTGATTTGAATCAAATACAAAGTTTTAAAAGATTGTTTCATCTTAAATTTTAAATTGGACCGGTATAAAAAATATCGATATAAAAATGTATCTTAGATTTAGATTTTTGTGTTTAATATATTTCAAGGAAAATTGAATCGGTTCTCGACAATTGTGACAGGTCATCCTTGTATGTAACAGAATTAATTACGGTACGTAATGTAGAGGCTGGAAAATATATAATACATCTATATGCATTAAGTAAATTTATTTCAAATATATGACTGCGTACCGATTACTTTCAAACTTGCAACACAATCAAACCGAAAAATAATAATCTCCCAAAATGAATTAGATCGTCAATTTGGATGCTACTAGTATCTTAAATATAATTTAAATATTCAAGATTGCGTCATTAATTACAGTTCAATAGAATGTTTCACAAAAAAAATATTCTGCTCGTGCAGCCGCCATGACGACTGTGCATTATTGGAAATGGAATATCTTATATTTTTATACCATGGGCGCAGCATTATTAAATTTTTTACACATATTCTAGTGAAACGATTTCTTACAAGAAAGTTCCTAACATTAGATTTCGTGACAAAAGTAAATGGAATGTACTTATGTTTTAACAGTACAATTTTTGGTTTTGTATCTAAATTTAATTCAGAAACGTAATATTCTTGGAACGCTGGCGAAAATAGTATGTTTATAGAAAATTTATAAAAACTTTGCTCAAATGTTGAATGAAATATTTCATTTGAGCTTTAAAACATATTTAAATTGTTGTATGAGATGTGAAAATTTAAACATGGAATTGTTCAAGACTATATGTTCATGACTATATTTGATAGATATTCGGAAAGTGTGTTGTGTTTTCGGAATATTAACAAAATTTAAAGGATAATTGGATTAAAATTGGGAACAATTCAATAAATGTTTTAAAGTTTAAATGAAACATTTTAGCCTCTTATAAATTCTCAATAAACATACTATTTTCCCCAAGGCACGCGCAATAAATTAATTTTCACGTGTGCGAATTATGTTGATAAGAAGACGATATCAATAATCACTTATTTCAATAAAATGCGCTTGCCTCGAACGATTCAAGTCGCAAAAATTATTTATACCTATTGTCTTTTTGTATATCAATCGTGAAAACGAATATACAGTTGATAAACCATATATTCTTTCGATAATACAACAAAATACGAGCTTGCGTGATACAACAATGGTGTGTTCCTGAAACCTGGAATCTTTAGGTTGATTGCCCAAGCCACGAGATCGACTCGAGCTAACGCTTGCGGTGCCAGGGGAAATTAAGGTGAGCCGAAGCGTGGTGAGAGCTCGTTACGTATTTTAGCGTAAATACTGACACTCCCGCATTTACCCGCCGTTCTAGGAAGTCGATAGCGAAAGACCTTTCGGGCAATTTCGACAATGAACTTTACCGCGCGTGCTCACGTTGCGCTAACTATGTAAGGGTGCCTCTATATAATTTGCAAATCGCAAAACGTAGTTCGTAATGCTGACGCAGAATGATGATCACGGCAAGATATACGCAGATGAAAACTGCACGCAATAAAAAAATAAACGCAACTCATTCTGCGTCTACGTTTTGTGATTTGCAAATTATTGGGTTGTCCGGAAAGTTCGTGCCGCAAAAGATTTAAATTCAATAAATGAAATTAAAAATTCAATTTTCCTTCAAAATCGGCACAAATTTTCCGGATAACCCAATATATAGAAGCAGCTTCTAAAGTCATTTTTAATGTGAATCGAAGATACCCTGACCCCATGTAAAAATCCTTAGATTATAGATTATTCTGACTGATTATCTTTCAGTGATGCGATATGATTTATATAATATATGTTAATCTGTAGTGAAAGTTATATTATATTTTCTAATTTATAATAATTTTTTATGAAAACATATAGAAAAAGAGAAGTGTTTTTGCAGGAAAATATTCTCAAACTCGGCCTCTCACCTGGGTGACAGATAACACTTTCAGTTTCAAATTATCATCACATTTCGAGAAATCTATAAATAATACATACTATATCACTAAGATAACATTTATGAACGGATTATATCAATCAAGTTAATTGCTTTTAATCTGTTCAATCATTTGACATCAAACATCCATAAAAGATGTGTTTAGCTATAATAAGAAAATTTGCCATTGAACTTTGCACATCATAATTTTTGTGTCTCTGAGAAATGAACCGTATAATAAAATTATGTGATAAATATTGAGGATATAATGTCAATTGAGATAGAGCCGACAATACAATAAACTCGCTAGAAGCCGTACAGTATTTTCTCATTATATAATGCACAATCCGAAACTATTGTATCGCGATCCAGGTTTGCATTTAGTTTAAGAAAGTGTGATAAGCATCGATAAGTTCGTAAATTTTATTTATTGCTAAAATAGAATTAAATGTCGTCATCTTTTTGTTGACAGTTAGCTCGCGGGCATGATTAAAGCAAACAATATAATGCAATAATGATTACTCTAGAAATAATTACGTGTAATTATATAGTAGTGTATATTATTAAATAACATGTTAATCTCCGATAGTAATTGACATGTCAAAATAAACGACGGAGTGGCTTGACTCTGTCGAAAATTCTCGGAATAATAAAACGCAGCCTGATATTGACGTATTTTCTTCGTATGAAAATTGTATCTCACATTTAACACGAAATAAGTGAAAAATTAATTGATTTTCTTTGCATTCAAATGCTAAGATATGTTAAGATATGTGAAAAAAATCGACGAGATGAATTTTTTTACGGTATTTCAATTATCATAAACTTCTTTCAAGCTGCCTTAATCAATCTTAATTCGGAATAATACAATAATACAATAATAGATATAACTTTTAAAAATATATTACAAAACTTTTATTTTTTTTAAGCTGACGTGATAAAATTTTTCATTACAGAGATATATAGTTCTTCAAATAAATTAATTCTTTCTCTAAATTAATCCTGCTATATATTTAGTCAAGTATATTCACGCATAATTTTAATGACATAAAATTTGTTAATATATGTATATCGTACATTATTTTTATTGCATATAATGAACGCAAAAAGTATTCGTACAGGAGAAACTTTCAAAAGTCTTATTTGTAGAAAATAAACATTAATTAACAATTTATTAGTTTATTAATTAACAACACTTTATTAATGTATTAATTAACAATTTAATAATGAATACGTTCCATCTTAATATAAACAAAAAAACTTCATAAAAATGACACTCTTTCGTGATTTTAGAAATTTCTTGACTGTACGAATGTTTTTTGTGTCTAAATAATATATTTTTTATTTTCGCTTATTTTATTAAGATAATATATTTTAATTGTTATTTTTTAAATAAAATAATTTTGAGAAATGTATAATTTATTATAGTCTTTGTTATAATAAATTACTAATTAATTACTTCTTAAAAACAAGGTTTTAGAAAGATATCTCCTTTGTTGTTTTTATATGTACATATCAACTGAAGTTCACAATCGTGTTCCAATATATATTGTCAGTACTGAAAATTTATAATAAATGTACACTATAGATTTTTAGTGGCAGTGTATATTGGAATGTGGCCGAAGTATTAATACCATGGTGTAGTTTTCATTAGACACAGTATAGATCTAAAATTTCAACATTAGGTATTATAAAGATATTTGCATCAAATCGCGTTCTGGAGACATAAAATCCATCGTTGCATCGAAATAAGTCACATTTTTCGGCCACATCCGAAAACGGAAGAATTTATGAGGCGGACGGAAGTAAAAACTATATAGACGTACTTCCGCACAGCTTCGAGAGTGAATTAGCGCGTTTCTTTCTCAAAAAATACATTTCACGTTTCTCTCCCCACTTCTTCGCGTAACGCTCGATAAACCTTTCTCGAGTAAATCCATCTCGTCGGTTTCTCTCTCGGCGCCATGTAAATATATCATTCGTGTTTTGCTGTACGGTGCCACGTCTCTGCAAATGAATTTCCTGGAGCGTTTCCTTCCTCCGTCCGGGAGACAGACACAGAAACGTCGAGCGGTAGCTGCGAAGAGAAGGAAGAACAGGAGAAAGAGGAAACGTAAAGAGCGGAAGGGAGGTAAAAGGGGATGAAGAGAAGATAGTGAAGTGGAGGACTCTGTGCAAGAGTGAAGAGCTGGGAAAGAGGAAGTAGAAAAGAAAACAACTAGGCAGAGCGAGAGACAATGGGTAGCACCGTACCGCAGGATCGAAACCGAGTATGTCCGTTAGCGACATTAAATGCAACAGGGAAATAATAGTTACCGCGATTCTACGTAAAGCAAGTGTATATCTTTGGTGACAGCGACGAAATAGTGTAATCTCTACTTATATGAATTTGCCTGCATTGCCTTTCATTGCATCTCCGTGTTGAATTTTCATTCTCCGTTTAAAAAAATATTTAATCTTTATAATCCTGATGAAATGAACATCCAAACATTAATGATATCAATAATACAATATTTCCTCTTTCATTAAAAAAAATTCGTTGAAAAAAATGAAGTAATTCTATTAAAAAACACGTTTTAGAGAGATTAATATTTTAATATTAATTAGGATAAATACTGTTGCTAAACATTGAATGTCCTGTTCATTTGTTATAATTACTGTATACGCCAAAATAATCTACTAGTTTCTATGGAATTATAAAATAAAAACGCAAAATGGCTAAATATTGTGCAACACGATGCAGAAGATGAACTAATATTTACACTGAACACAAAATACGACATGTGTGTTTTTAAATCTTTAATAACGTCGTTTCTACCATGTTTTTTTTTAATAAACCTCATTCTTTTTGCTAAGTGTGCAATAAAGTTGTAGATAGAAATAAGAGAGTACAATTGATAATAAAATTTAAGTTTATAACATAAGAATGCGATATTTGATAAACTAATAAATATATATATATATAGATAAAAATTTCTTTTCTTTATTCTTCATTTACATTGTTCGTATACATGTTTATTTAAGGAAACAAGGAAAGTGCGAAATCTACAGTTCCACTTTGTGCGTAGAGATAAGGAGAATTGAGTACTTAATTATTTATTAAGACATTTACATGTCTTAATAACTCATATCGAGCGAACTTACATATTTCAAATATACACAATAATAGTAGAAAACTGTATGTAACTTTCTCTTATTGTAATGCAAAATATGATAATTAATTTACATAGAGAAAAAGAGTACGTCATACAAAGAAATGTCTTTTTGTTCAACTAATAAATAAAATTTATATTTTGCGAAATTTTACATCTTATTTTTGTTTAAAAATATATAATATAATATAATATTTTCTTAGATAAACTTCGTTCTATTTAAATATTATCATTAAAAATTATCATTTGATTATTTTAAATTTGATTACTTTAAAATTATTTGATTACTTTAAAAATATACACAAAATACACATTTTAATAAATTACGATTTAAAAACTTTATTACAGACTGATGAAAACTTGTAAATTAATAAGGCACGCAAGATTCGGAATAATGAGACGCTTGACAAGTCAAAGACATTTTATTTTCCTTTTCTACCCGTGCCTCGAATAACAAAGTTTATTCCTGGAAAATCTTCAAATTTTAATATTCCCATCGTCATGCGTATTCTGCATCTTGTTAATCCGTAACAAGGACGGAAATCATTGTTTCATCATTCTATACCACCGATCGATATTTTAGTCAAGATGAATCCGGCGTTCCGCCAGGTTGTTACGGCATTACAATATTTATCTGCTCGTCGTTGGCAGTCGTAGCCGGTTAACGCGCGTTTCCCTCACGGTAACGAGTTTAACGTTACGTGACATTGTCTCGCCGCGAATTAATTGCGTCTGCGCGAAGCGAGTGCAGTAGCAATTTCGATCGCTACTGTTGCTGTTGCTTGCTGCTACTACACTTCGCCGGCTGTCAATCAATCGCGCGGAATTGCGGTCGGTGGACGTATTTACATATACATGTGCATGCATACACGCATGTGTGCATGCGTACGTGCACACGCATACGTTCATATTATTTTGCTCCAAAGTCCGACGATTACTTTAATTAAGCAGAGATTATGGCGGAAAAATGAAAATAATGCACCGCCGATAAAACGCTGGTATGCGGTTGGATTGTATCACCACGTAACATCGTATGATCTTTTCACTCAGCAGCTCTGTATCTTGTGAAGTCGAATGACTTTAATTCAAATTTACTCGCGAATAATAATGCTGGAGGAAGATATTCGAGTAATAAGAGTTAAGTATGAACTGTAGAAATAATATTCCAAATTCACGAAAGTTCACGTTAAATTTTATAATTTAGTTGGTATGTGTGTGTGGTGTGTGTGTGTGTGTGTGCGTGCGTGCGCGCGCGCGCGCGTCACAAAAGCGAATTTGTGAATTTATCAAAATTTTTTTGATGATAAAGTTAAAAATTGTTTTAAGATGAAAATAATTGTTTTCATTAATAAAAAGAATTATTTTTAACTTTAAAAAAATAATTAAGAAGATACTCTGGTAGAAATCTATGGCAGCGCCACTATACTACTAAATATCATTTCTACATCATGTGCCAATGTCATTATGATAAAATTAATGTCAATAAAATTTGACATAATTACGTCATAACGATGTCTAAATGTCGAGGATAAGTTATTAATGACTAAATTTATGGGCCGAAATAAAAGTCATCTTATTAGCTGGATGGCCAGCGCGCGCCACAATACTTTGCCATGCCATAATCACTTAAAAAAAATCTAACATGACCCACAAAAAATTCAGTCTCGTGCCTGATATGGATGTAGAAATGGCTCGACACTCACTCCTTTACTTAGTAAAATTTATTAAAAAATTAAATGCGGAACCTACGACAGATCCAGCTCGCGCTTATTGAAAATGAACGCGTTCAAGTCGATAAAGCGGTTAATCTGCCCAAACAAATAAACACGATTGGTTGTTCCTTATAGATCCAACCAATCACAATCAATCGCTCGGTGAGCAATCTATCTGCTTTGTCCAGCTTAAATGTGTCTGTTGTGTTGTGATCGCAGCTTGTCCTTAGGTCTGTTTTCTGTAGCTGAACTGTAGTGTACACTTTTGGAACTTGAAATAAGATAGGTATATATTTATTATTTGTTGAAAGTGAGAAAGAGAGTGCTAGTTCAATCTAGTGCAGGAACAAAAAATAGACTACTTGTCGCATCGCAGTGTTGAGGATTTCGTGGCTGACAGATTTCCTAACCTAAATAGTAGTGAATTTTAATGATTAACATCTCAGACGCGAGGCAGAGTAAAGCTTTTCTCTGCCAGATTTCTTTGTTTTATGCAAAGATGTGCCAAGTAAGCTTAATTTCGTTGATTTTTGAGCTGCAGGAAGCTTATCTAAATAATTACCAAATTCTCTTATTTTTAAGATAAAAACGTGACAATAATCCCTATTTTAAGTTAACTTTCTCGTTAAGAAACAATATAAGCGTGATTTTCGGGATGATCTTGCATTTGTCATCGATTGCATAACGAAACAACGCAAACATAACCTCAATATGCTGTCCGAAGTGGACGTGTTTATTAGCAATTACACGTTGGTTGATCCCGAGATCTATCAGCTGTGGGTCGACGGACATACTTGTGAGTGGAGGAAATAACAGCCTCCATTGATTTTATCTGCACGAAAAATTATTTGAATCTTTAAGTCTAATGGATGCTTTTTTCTAGCTAGTGACGCAGTTAACATTTTACATCAACGAGGAATTTGTCAGCAGACCAATGCGCCAATCGAACTGGTTGCATCTGACATCCTCGATCACTATCGTACCTATGCTTTGCTCGAGAAACTGCTTCACACTCCTACGAAACTCGCCAGTGAGCAGCTAGCCTTTCAAATCGAACCACAGACCAGTCAAATGCTCATAGAAATGTAAGAATATGCGTAATGCAACCTTCTAATCAAATTATCGAATTATAACTCAAAATATGAAAAATAATTGATAAAAGAAATTAGGACTAGTGGAAACCGATACTGTAAGCAGTGCAAAATATTTAATTTTAAACCATTGATGTTTCTAACAATGTTAACATTAAATTATTAAATAATGTATGTTTCAGCTACTTTCTAACTTTTATCAGCACAGAAATAAGAATGATCGCTGTAAATTCTTATGTATGTTAGATTGTGGGATTATTAACTCTTTAAAACCGATGCCAAAATTTGTAACAATTTGTTACTGACACTGGAGATCCAAGAGATTCATTTAATTTAATAGAAAAAAGCCTATATTTCCGCAAATATTGGCACATAAATTATATATTCCTAATAATACAATTTGCATTTAATTGGAATGTACTTGTCAAATGAAGTTAAAATAAAATGTTTTGATTCTTGGATTGGAATCTTCTTCAGTATAGAAATATAATACAAACTACAATGAAACTTTATATTTTATTTATTTTTGTAGCTACAAATATTACTATTTTATTTTATTTCCATGTAGTGTATATTGACTAAAAAAAATTAATTAATTTCTATTAATTTCAAGGAATCAAAATAACATTTAAAATATAATAATATAAAAAAGAATGAATATTAAGTATATTAACAAAAATAGTTTAAAAATTCATAGATGTAATATAAAGAAAGTTGAACTGTTTGACATTGTATTGTACGAAATGACAATTGTTACAAAAATCAATGTAAGAATTTAGAACTAAATAAGTTTTAAATATGATAACGTATTTTTTTTAATCTTAAAACTACTTCACAAAGAAAGCTAAATTAATTTTATCCATTAAAATCTTTGTTAGCCAAACAGTCATTACAATACAGTTGGTCCAATAGACCTACCATCAACTTCGTAGGAATATAATTGAATAGGTCCAATAAACTTACACCAACTCCAAAGTGTTAATAATTTCCTGATGCTGACATAAATAATTACTTATTTCAGGTATTACGAATTTGATGATGTCGTTATACGCGAGTTACTAGGAAAAAAGATAACATCCAAAAGTAGAAAGGATATGGACGAGGTAGCGGAAAAGACAGGAATTACGTTGAAGAGCTGTAGAAGACAGTACGACAATGTGAAAAGGGTATTTAAAACTGTCGAAGATTTGCCAGGCTCTCTTGCAACCAATATCAAACAACATTTCTTACTTTCTGAGGATCTTGCTAAGTATGTATCATATATAATTCCTTTTAGAAACTGTAGCTTGTGTGTTTATGAATGCACAATCCAATTATAATAAACATCATTTATATAACCAAACTGTTTTTAATTGCAGACGATACGCTGCAGTGGTGTTTATAGCATGCCTGCGATTTGAAATGAATAAAAGAAAATTACAGTTTTTAACGTTTCCTGATCTATATCATTGTGCTAATAGTATGATGTCGTCGTGGACATATCGATGTGTCGGATCCGAATATTTTGATACGGACTTGGACAGGGAATTCTTACAGGAATTATCAGAATGCAGAATTCTTCTAGAAAATGATAAACATCACAAACAGTATATTATATCATACATAAAATGACAAATTATGCTTTGTTATAAAAATTACAAAAATAACAGTATATATTGATATATTCCAGTTTAGTATGCCTTAAGCTCAAACCAATGCTTCTCGATCGATCTTATCAAGAACTGGATATAAACTTCCGTTCGTATTCGAGAGCGATTCTCTGTATTGGATGCAACTTGCATAGATCACGAGAATTGAGATTTTTCTTTTTGGAATTGGTGGAGAGATGTATTGAACCTTGGCGACAAGTCAATTGGACACATTCCGATCTACGGAATTTCTTAGCCGTCTATACACAATGTGCTCTTGACATGGATGTACTTAGGTAGGACTCGTAATAATTAATATTATGAATAAGATTTAAATATTAGGAATTTTAAGAAATATTAATTATTCAATGTTTATCACAGAGAAGGCGAATTAAGAGATGCATTTGAACGTTACATGACTGTAGTGACATGTTGTCTATTACGTATGTATCATACATAATTATCAATGAAAAAAATTAATATATATATATGTTAATAATATACAAGATGTTCCTTAAATCCACCAGTTTTGAAATACTTCCGATGAATTGAAAACAAAATATTTCTAATAAAAATGGTTTTTAATAAAGAATTAATTGCTTAAGAATAATTTCAAATTTGTTCATTTTCTAATAAAAAAAAGTGAACTTAAATTATATTTTTAAAATGGAACCATATATTTTTCTTTCCACATTCTTGTAATACATAAAAAGATAAATTCATCGGTATGCTTTAAGTATTGACGACAGATTCATGGATTATGTTATAAGTACATTAATTGAAACATCTTGAGATCAAATAATCAAAATGTATAATACTATCGAATTTGTCTTTTTATGTATAAACTATAGAAAGAAAAATATATAATTTGATTTAGAAAAATATAATTTGATTTCGATTTTTTTTATTAAAATGAACAATTTGAAATTTTTATGTAATTGATTCTTTATTAGAAATCAACAAATTTTTGTTGGGAATATTTTGTGTCAATTCATTGGAAGTATCTTAAAAATCGTGACGCGAGGATATATACACTTAGAAGGTATAAGTAAACAATAGGATTAATAATTTATGTATTACTAATATTTATTAATTTTCTGTAATAAATGATAGACAGATTTATGCATCTTATATGCTGCGTATAATTGTGCAGTTAGACATACATATGTAATAATGCATATTGCACTGTCAACATTTTCTTATTATTGCTATTTTTAATTGAATGTGCGCGATGTGAAATTCTACAAAGTGAAAGGCAGTTCGTATAAATATGGCAGTAGCTCGGTATATCTTTTTGTATTATAATTGGCCATATTCAGCAAAATGTTTATTTTGCAATAGTTGGAAGTTTCTTCGCTTATTGTGAGCTAGAATTATGTGTGCGTATGTGTATACACACACACACACCCACGCGCACATACACGCACACACACACACACGCGCGCGCGCGCGCCTTTAGATCAAAGAGTAATTCAATCTACGCGAAGTGCTTACTAAACGCCGATTTTTGCTGAACGTGGCCGTCATATATTCAATTGAAAGTTAACTTCAATTTATTCAAATCCAATATGAATATTAATAAAATAAATTAAATGTTTCAATTATTGCACATTCGTTGATGATAACAATTGGATATTTCAAATAAAATAGCACTATTTATATATTAAAATTTTGACTTATTCTTACTAATTCTTTCTTATATATATATTTACATTTATTATCGCATTGTCTAATAACATTATTAATATCGCATATATCAATGTACAGAATACACATCGCACATATTTCGTGCTAGTTTCAAGAAGCACATGCTTAACCTCATTTATACATTATAATCAGTGTACATCTCCAAATGTCCAAACATACTTTCTTGTAGAAAGAATTGTTACAAATAAAACTTATAAAATGGGGACGGTCCCATTAGTGCCCATATATGCGAAAGCATACATCCACTCACATCCGCTAGTAATTTTTTACCAATGAAAATATTTTAAATTGGCCAATTAACGATGTGCGCTATCGGAATCCTCCCAGATGAGATATCCAATGATAAGATGTCCAGTCTTCTATATAATATCAACACAATATTGGACGAGGTACACTGTGTACTGTAGAGGTGTGGCAGATGGGAATAGGAAAATTGGCGTGTCAGGAAAATCGTAAAAATATAATAATTTCACCTAAGTATTCATATACAATTGACTACTGTGTGACTCTTAACAATTTGTTAACGGCGTTCACTATGTCTTTGATCTGTGGCAAGGCCGCAATCTCCAGCGATTTCACATATGGCATAGGGGTGTCAACTCCCGTGATGCGAATGACAGGTGCGTCAAGATGATAAAAGGCTTCACCTGGAAAAAAAATAATTTTGTTACGCACTGTCGAGAATAAATAAATGAAAATAAAATCGATAAGAACCAATTTAAATTATATAGCTTTGAAATTGCACTTTACTAATCTTTTATGTATACAATGCGTTTAAAACTTAATTTTAATTTAAATTATATGTTAATTTAAACTATTACATGAATAACTCAAATAAGTAAAAAAAGCTTGAGAAAGAACCAATATGATCAAAACTAGATCTCTCTCTCTTGTTTAATAATATTTATATATAAATTCTAAATACATCTTTCAGTTATATAAACTGCGTGCCAGATTTGAAACGCAAATAAACTAAAGCTGAAATAACAAATTATACAGTATTCGATAAAGACCGTAACAATGTTTGAGGGTAGATTTCTGACATCATTTTGGTACAAAAATTCTAATACCAAAATATCGAGGTTTTAGTTGTTTTTGAATGATAAACACTTAAAGTTATCGAATCATACCGCCTAAAGTTCGCGCATTTAAATGTGATACAACGGAAAATCTAACCTAAGTTATATTAATGTTAATTCCTTGATTTAAATTGAATTTGGATTTCGACTTTGATATTTTATTATTTTTGAATTTCTGAGTTGTATGCGACTTTAATTTTTGTATCTTTTAATTACTAGTTGTTTGTAACATTATTAATGACTTCGTGCAAAAGTTCAAACATTTGTTTAAACATTTGTTTAACATGAAATTCATTTTATTAAAATAACTGAATTGAGCTCTTAACCTTTATTTGATTTGTAATGTGTTGTTTTTCTGATCTTATACAAATTAAACTGATCATCAATTTAATAATTATACTAATAAGTATCTTAAAACACTAAAAAAAACTTATTACGAAAAATATTATCCAAACCAGGGTAATATTTTATCTTAATTTAAACTATCTAAAGTTGATTTAAAATATAAATTCAATACAAGTGTAAAATAGAAAATAGATTATAGATTATAACAAGTTAAAGGCAAAAGGCTACGAGCCAAAAATTTTTTTTTGGCCTATAAAAATTGGAGATAAGTAAAAGTCTTAATAAATTAATTTTGAAATAACATGCCAGCTAACAACAACAACGTTTTGATCACGATCAAATCATTATCAATGTTTACAAAATATGTCTAAACGGTAAAAAACATAACATAAAGTCAATCGAAGATTAAACATGTTCTTCGCATTGAAAAACTATATAATTGTTGGTATCAATAAAATTAAGAAGGATCTTCATCTTGTTAGTTGAATGGAACAGTAATTATAGATTATAGGTTAAACGAAACATACTCTCGGCGATTCTTGCACTGACTTCCGCTCCAATGCCGCACTGTGGCCAACCCTGTTCAACTGTCAACAGGTGTTTCGTCTTCATCACAGACTGTATGATGGTGTCCATGTCCAACGGTCTGAGAGAACGTAGATTAATCACTTCGGCTTCGATTCCTTTTCCAGCAAGTTCATTGGCCGCTTCCAGAGCCTCCTCGACAGCTTTGGAGTGTGCTACCAATGTTACATGATTGCCCGCTCGTTCTATTTTGGCCTTGCCGATAGGTAAAACAAAGTCCTTGGATAAAGCTTCATCAGACATAGGATACTGTACACCATACAATATTTCATTCTCGAGCACCACCACTGGATCAGGATCTCGAATGGCTGCTTTAAGCAAACCCTTGGCGTCTTCGCTGTTATAGGGTGACACTACTTTTAAACCGGGACAATGACTATACCAGGCACCAAAACACTGCGAATGTTGAGCTCCTACACCTGCGGCAGCACCGTTGGGACCACGAAATACAATTGGCACATTGACTCTACCTGCAGACATGTAGAACGTCTTGGCAGCAGAGTTGATGATGTGATCGATTGCTTGCATCGAAAAATTAAACGTCATGAATTCACAGACTGGTCGCAGGCCGGCCTAGAAAATGAAATATACGTGTAAATAGAGGAATATATACTAATAAAAATGCAATAAATAAAACAAAGATTAACTTGTTACAATAACAAAGCTCAATAAAAATTATTCCACACATACCATAGCTGCTCCAACCGCGATGCCTGTGAAACCAGCCTCTGTGATCGGCGTGTCAATGACACGTTTGTCCCCATACTTCTTCCAGAGTCCCCGAGAAACTTTGTACGCACCATCATAGAGAGCTACTTCTTCGCCGAGAAGAAATACCTTTTCATCCCTTTCCATCTCCTCATCCAAGGCCGAGTTCAAAGCATCTCGCACGGTCATCTAGCAAATTCACAGGAATTTTTATGAAAGAACACCGAGATATAAGTGAATGACCTTTCATGTCCTTCAGATTTCTACTTCTTTGAATGATCGTACGCGAGAGAAAAGTTGAATCGGGAAGGGCAAAGGGAGAGCAAGGAAGAATTATCGATAAACGTGGAAATGTTCGCGGAGTTTCTGTGACATCCACAGAACCGTTTCTTTGTTTTTTGTTAATTTTAAACGGAATAAATCACCTGCTGTGCTGTTGCCCATTTAGATGTGGAAAACGAGCGGCGAACGACAGTTCTTACAGCGGTCTGAAAACAATGAAGCATCGTAGTAATCCAGACATTCGAATCTCTTCTTTTTTCGAGCAGGTCGCAATGTGATCCACTCCACTTACAGCAGTCATCCCGATTCTGTGTTCACGATGTTCTATTAACGAGACGAAATCAAAGCGGACAGATGAAAGAGGCTATAGTAAACGTGGAATAGGACATCGATTGCAACCGCTCGTTTTTTAGAATTCACGAAATCTTTTTACCATGAACATGTTAAGTCGTTGACGGAAATGTTTCTCGCGATGGGAATTTTTCTAAGAGCGATTTTTCTTCTCTTTCTCTTTCTGGAAGAATGAGTTGGGAGACGTTCGTGAAAAATCTTCGTCCGATACTAAAACCAAACGCAGATTACGTTAAGAGCCAAAGATGCGCACTACTCGGGATATGCAGAACGATTATAAAACGCACGAAGTCGCTGGTTCGAAAAGGTGCCACAGCAGCGTGTCGAACTAGCGTTCAAAGCCGAAGCGGCAAATGCGATATTTGCGATGATTGATAATACGAACTGAGTGAAACAGATCTTGCTTGCACTTTTTGCATCCAGCATCTTTCCTTTCTCTCTTTTCATCATTCAAATACATATTTATCTCCTTTTAAGTTTTGATTTCAAACAACGCGAACAGACCTATTGTTGAAGCTAGTTATTGGATAATTAGGCGATCGCATGATAGATGCGCAAACGTATTTCGTCTCGCAATTGCATCTAATAAACGCAAAGTAATTGAGACAGAAAATCTATTAGACGTTTTGCACTCAGCATCTTCGCTTTCAACGCTTAAATTTATCTCATTTTAAATTCAAAATTTTTTTCAAGCAACACGAACAAACCTAAAGTTGAGATTTGAATTCCTGTTTCAAACGCAACGAGTGCGTCTCATTGGAAGCTACAACAATAAAGGTGATACAGAGAGGAATTGGAGAGTGAATATCCCTGCCTTTTCCATATATCAAACCTCGTAGGATAATGCCTACATTTTTTGTGAATCTCTTCCATGCTATTACGTAGATTACAAGGTCGAATAATCAAAGTTGTTTATCCTTATCTAACTCACGTAATAGTATAGAAAAGAATCACAAAAATATTACTCTGAAACTCGGTACACCAAAAAAGGTCGGATGTCCACTGTCAGATTTCTCTTTAATGTGACATAGTGAATCATTATATCCTTGTTGTTTATTAACAAAGATGTTAAACAAAGATGAAATGATCATTGTTACATACTCAGCAAACACCAAGTTACATGTAACGTACATGTTAATTTCCCACTTAACAATATAACTGTAATGTAACATGTATGTTATATACAGAGTGGAACAGTAATTCTGTCCACTTAGAATATTTCCACTATTTTTAGAGATATAACATAATATATTTATTGAAGTATAACATCAAGAAAGATACAATATATTACTAATAGTTTTTCTATGGATGGAGATGCTTCGAAGATTTCAAGATTACCTTCATTTTTTTAAATGGAATTATATGATTTTTTACACAATGATTCCTCTAATTATTCTGCATATAAAAATATTAAGGTATACATACCGCAAAGGTATACATACAAAAAATTAGTACTTTACAAGACATTTTATATTTTATTGGCATCGCCAAAGTCAAGTCAAGGTCACATCGATTTTTTAAATAGAAGAAACCCCTATTTTGCATTCTAATAGCTTATTATAAGAGTTCTTCAAACATTATAACAAAATATTTTTTTATTAAGTACTTTTCGAGTTATGATGATCGACTTGGATGTTACAGTATCGCCGACGCATTTATACTCAAGGTCTAATCAACTAAAACCTCTTGAATTAAGAATTTTCTTCAGGATCATAATCTGATCAAAATATAAATAAATATTTGTCAAGATCAAGGTCATTAGAAATTGTTCCTCTTATTTTTATTTTTACGTAAGAATGGATTTTTAGTGTAATTTTTTTACAAATAATTTATACAAATACTTTACAAATAATATCCAGTACGAACATGGGAAGACGATTATAGTTTTGCATGTTATATTATTAGGGCAATACCATAGATCCAGATGTACAGTTAAAGTTCTTGTTATTTAGTGGAAAATCAAATTGCGCAGTTTCGACTTTCCACTAAATTAGCGTTTATCGTATCTGAATACACAGTATTGCAAAAACATTCTATTATTCGCGTAACGTTTCTTAAGTTCGTCTACTGGTAAATGTAGTTAAGATTCTTTCGAACTTATTCCCGTCAAAGAAAATAACAAATCTTTTTCATCGAATACTCCGTCAATCACTAATCTTATTTAAATAGTAAAGTACAATTTTAATTGTTAAATTCTTACCATAGAATATAAGTAAAAAGGTATGAAAAACTTCTTCTCAATGACAAGATATTGCCGCTTACGGAATTCAGTATGACGTGCGCTTATGTTTTACCTGATTCATATATTTTTCAATGATTCACGTACACATCATCACAGTGTGCATATGTGTGTGAAAATATAATAAGATTACGTTCTACTTTAACGCTGATAAGCGCGATCTGTGATACGCGTCTTAAATGCTTCTATATATATTACAAGTAGAAATAATGCATCCGAAAGGAATGTCAACCCGACATGTGTTTAATTGTGATCTATGTTACCATCTTTTGTTTAAAAACAAAATTTTTATCTGATTCCATCGCTTAACAGCAGTACATAACGCTCCTATGGATAAGTAATAATGTAAAATTGTAAAATTTATTTTACATGCAATTTTGTGATAGCAAAATACATATATATCATGAGATTAATGATACTATTTCGTAATTTAATGAAATTATTAATCAAGCGATCGAGTGATATTCTCTAACAAGGATCATCTCTACAAGTGGGAGTAGATTACTCATACATGTCATATCTTATCTCTTGATAGTGGTGGTAGATATTACTATGCTCTAAATAGGTGTGGTGTAGTATCTTGTTAAATCGAAGGGACAGCATATCTTACATAAATCGCGAATAAGTTTTCGATTTTCAAATAAGTTTAAATACCGTTTTTCTCAATACAATGATACATATTAATTAAAATACGAAGTGTCGATTCAGTGAACAATTCTACATTTCTTGTTCTTTTACAGCAACAAAATGATTGGTCGATTATATTTCTGGATTATTCTATTTGTTCTTAGTAAGAAGTTTATTATTTTAATTTATGAGATGTACAATTAATTTTGTTATATGTATATATTAATATTCGCAGTAAAAAGTTTCCAAAATTCTTCATATTAATTTTTGTAAACTTTTTATATAAAATTTATAATTCCTCAAAGTTTTTTAGATCTTTTGTTACTAATTATATAAAATACTGAACATTTTCCAAATGGATTGCTTAAGAAAATCTACGTTGTTCCCATAATTCTTATGTGTATAAATTCCAAAACATTTTTCATTCTATAATTTCTAAAGAAAACTTATAAAATCTGAAGAAATTTGAAGTATTTTTTATTTTAATAACTTCATAAATTAAAAATTAAATATATTATGAAATATATACTATATAAGAATCATGAGAATTTTTCTCATCAAATATCATTGAACATAAAAATTGTTCAAAATTAAATTGTGCAAATTAAAAATATAAAAAAATAATTTTATACATATCTTTTTTCTGTAACAGTTCAAACATTTATTATTATTAAATACATTAAAAATTGTTTCGATAATTAGTTTACAAAAAATTCGTTTGCTATTTTGAAGATAAAATTTTTTAGATATTTGGATGCTAAAAATGATGTTATAACCAAATCAGATTGAAATTGAGTTTAAATGCGTTTAAACTAAAAAATGACTTCTGTTAATTTTCTGTAATATTTGAAACTTTTTTATAAAAAAGATTAATGCTTATCTTACAATTCTATTTATCTAAAAATCTATATGAAACACCACAGATAATACATGATGTCCATTGGGCGTTCAGTCATTTAAAAGTTAAAATATGTTATATATAAATATAATTTAAAATATTATATTACTTATTATTATACATAATAAGATGTATAATAAGAGTAATTTTATAATTTTGTAAACAATACAGCTTAATTTTCGTTATACATATTATTTCAGGCGTTTTCGCACAAGAAAATACATATCGAAGTATTACATCAACACTTCGAGAATGTTATGAAAATAAATATCTTCTAGAGAAAAATAATAGATTGCCTCATACTTTAAATACATTAATTGCGATTCTCCAAAAAATCGAGAATATAGAAAACCAGAATATGGATTTACGAGCTTTAACTGTTGCAATTATGCACAGGTAAATAATGGTTCTCATGACAGCGTTAAATAAATTTCAAGGTTTGAGATTGCTAAAGTGCATAATTGATATTTATATTTTTAAAAATTGTAGATTTCGTCAAGATGGAATAGTAAAGAATCCAAATGTCGTCGAGCAGTCTGGTGTATTGCCATATAAAGCAGGTGTACAAGCTCAAAAATATGTACAAATAATTCGTTTTATTCCCGAGACAACTAGCCGGCTTCTTGACAATATAATAACCGACATTGAAAGGGTAACTTAATAAAAACTTATATTATTTAAAGTATTTTAAATATATTCCTGATTTTTTGCTGAAATTTTTTGCTGAAATTAAAATGAATAATAGCAAAATATTACTGAAACGTATATTAAAATCTGTATCAATTGATCCACTTTCTTATAATTATTTCGTTAAGAAATTGTTCACAATCTAATGTTCGTAACGTAATAATAGATAATTATTACTATTATTATTTATTATTGGGGACTACTGAAGATGGCTTGAATACAGCTGAAACGTTCAGTTTAATATTTTATGTAATAGATTAGTAGATACGATTGAAATATTGAAATGTATTTATGATATTCGCACCAATTACTGCATATTAATGCTCTTAAGTGCCCGTTTTTTATTCTATTTTTTTATTTGTGTTAATATTTCAAGAGCCAATTCGAATTAGTTTTTAATTATATGTTAATTAAGTTATTTTTAAATTACCTTTAATTGTGCGAAAGCCGCATAACAAATATTTGACAAAAATATGTAAATTTAAAAAGGCTGTAATATATAGTATGGTTTTAATATTAGGTATAGTAAAAAGAAATCCATTATTTTTCCATTCAATTTCATGCAAAAATAATGGATTTCTTTTTACTACACCTAATATTACATATTTTTTGATTGAAATTTTTTCATTGAATAATATATATTTTACATTTGCTAGATGTGGATGGATTCATCAACTAAAGGATTGATCATAACTTTTATCTCAATGGTGTTTATAAAAATTTTATGATATTATCGCTGATAACTTTACAAATATTATAAAAATTAAATGCAATGGAAAACTATTTTTAGGATTCGAATAGTACTTCAGCATGATTCAATGTTTAATTTTTCTGAATAAATCTATAAAAATGTTAAATATTTTTACATTATATTTTGTTATTTTTAATTACTCTTCATAAATTTTTATTAATTATCTTTAGAATTCATAGTTTAGTATTAAAAGTATTATTTATACTAAACTATATTTAACAATATTTTAATCATTTTTATTTCTCATTTCTACGATTTCATATTAATTTCAATGATTTTAGTGATTTATTTTCGGGATATCGATTATGTAACTTTTCTCTATAATGGAAATGTGTATAATGGAAAAGTAAACATTTTTTATGTATTTATATATATATGTATATACATATATATATATATA